GCAACTTTTTCGTCTACTACCAACCTGATCACGTCAGCGGGGCTAGCGCCTAGATGACTCGGACTATCGCTACAAAATTTCTCTAGCTTACTTGACTGGTTTGTGGGTATCCGCTTTTGATATTCCGATAAAAATCCATATATATATATAGATACACACAGGTATAAGGATTAAATTTTATACATTTGTGACCGTGGTTTTAGTTCTTGTAAAAGTTATAGCTATCAGGAATACGGCTATGCTGAAAGTTCATAGACGTTGTGCTCATCCCATGGACATATATAAACTGAACAAGTGAATAGGAAAAAAAAATAATATTTTAACGGAAAGTAGGGATTGTTGGTTAATCGTACAATTGCTATAAGAAGTATCCAAAACAAAATATATGCTGCAATAAAAAGTACATAAAAAAGTAAAGTGATAATAGTTTGATAGATTTTAGACTGCTTTATTTAGCTATACGGATCACAATGCCAGCCAAATTAGGGATTGAAAATCGTTTTAAAACTGATCCAACTAGTATCACTTTACTTGTTTGTGTACTTTTTATTGCAGCATTTATTTTGTTTTATATACTTCTTATAGCAATTCTACGAATAACCAACGATCCCTACTTTCCGTTAGAATTTTTTTTTTTACCTATTTATAATAATGTAACAGAAATCAAATTACTTATTGTTCACGAATAGAGATTTTATATTGCTCAATAAAACTGTGGTCACAGAATGTGTAGTACAACTAACGTATTGATTTTACATTTCATTAAAAAAATTCTTCCAAGGAGAGTATTGTTTCGCTTGAAATTATATCAACAAACACGCGTTTTTTTTCTCTGTATTGATTAATACAAAGAATTAAATGCTAACTGCTGACGAGTCTGATTTTGTACTTATCAACTTACACCTTTTTAACGGAAACTGATTATACATAGACCTGTTAACACATGTAAATAAAAGTTTGATCGAATTTTATTGTTTTTCTGTCGTTCTAATATGCTACCTGTGCAAACAAGCTCATAAAAATGACAGATTATTGGAGATCTGTGATACGTATATGTATGTGTTTGTGAGCTTTACTCGTTCAATTCAAACTTTTTTTACACTGCACTTCGCACGTATTTCTGAGTTTTTATGATACATAATGCTCAGGCTGGAGAAACACGATCTTCGTATTGGAAACCCGTATACAGCCAGTAAATAAAAATGTGCTAAAATTATTATCAGCCTTATAGCGATGTGTTATTATCTGCCGATCTATGATCCTGAGTTATAAATAAAGCTTAAATATACTAACTACCACAATCAGAGAAACATGGTCAGGAGTGAAAGTTTCACATTCAGCTTTTTTAAGGATTGTTGAAATACAAGGTCATGTTGAGGTGAAATGTGGATTTGTTTTCAGCGATTAAGAAACCATACTTAAGTAATAGAGCAGTATGTCCGCATTAATTCGACCATAGAGAGTACAGAGCCACACTCTAGTACTAGAAATGCATGGCCACACTAAGACGACCAGAGTACACATCCATACTCTAGTACTAGGACTACCTGGCTACACTAGGGCGACCAAGGTACACTTCCATACTCTAGTACTAGGACTACCTGGCCACACTAGGGCGACCAAGGTACACATCCATACTCTAGTACTAGAAATGCATGGCCACACTAAGACGACCAGAGTACACATCCATACTCTAGTACTAGGACTACCTGGCCACACTAGGGCGACCAAGGTACACTTCCATACTCTAGTACTAGGACTACCTGGCCACACTAGGACGACCAAGGT